CTGACACTTAAGCCACTCATGAAGGATGCAGCACAGGAAGAGAGCAGGGGCCTATGTTCTTTAGGATACCTTGGACAACGACGCTACCTCCCCCTCATAACTTCTTCCGTGAGGAAAATAAACCTCCACTTGGTTCGGAAGCTTGGACACATTTCTGAAATGAACAGCAGAACATACTCACAAGATGCAACATCTGTTCTTTCATAAAGTCTGTTTTATAATTTCAATTCAAGGTAAGCATTGGGAGAGAACCTGCTACTGTAAATTGTATGGAAGGAAGAACTCATGCCAAATCAGGACAGCTCTGCCCTCTAGTGGGCAAAACACGCAGATACATAATATATAACCCACTGTAATGAAGCAGAGTTCATAAATCRAGCAGAAATACAATAGGCCCCTCCAATCCAAGGTTTCATTCTGTGGTTTCAGTCATATGCAGCTCATGGTGGACCAAAATTATTAAATAGGAAATTCTATAAACAAAAATCCACTCGTTTTAAAGTGCATGACATTCCGTGTAGGTGTAGCATGGTGACATCTCATACTGTCTCATCCTGCACATGAATCATCATTTTTTCCAAGATACCTGTGCTGAATATGTAGCCCACCCCATAGTCACTGAGTGTCATATGGTTATCAAATTGACAGTTGGGGAACCACAATGTTCATGTTTAAGAAACACTTATTTTACTTAATTGTAGCCCAAATCTCAAGGGAAATGATGCAGATGTTCCAAAGAGAAGCTTGAAGGGCTCCCTTTAAATGAAAGGCAAGAATACAGTGAGATATTTCAAGAKAATTAAAACACATTTGCATAACTTTCATGACACAGTGTTGTTATAATTCTTCTATTTTATTAGTATTCTCTTATTGTGCCCAATATATAAATTCACCTTTATCATAGGTATATAAGGGAAAACTGATATCATAGGGTTCAATACTATGTATGGTTTCCAGCATCCAGAGATCTTGGGTGTAGCCTAGTGTTTCCCTGATTCATAAGTGGGGAGCTGTTTGGACTAATATTGGTATGGAACAGAAAGAAAATGAAATCTGACTGTGAGATGAGGGGAAAGTCTAACAGCAAAAGTAGTCAGTAACCTYGGGGAATAAGTAGAATTTTGATAGACAAAGGGCCTGCAGGCCAGGAACAGAGTGTGAGCAGGGGCTGGTAGGCATGTTGAGGTACAGGAATGAAAAGTGCCTCAACCGCAAGGAAGCTTAAACATTGCTAACTATGACAGAAGTACATACCCAGCGCCAGCTCTTACTGTATATTCATTTTCTCAGTAAATTCTCCATATAAGCCACAAAAGTGAAAGGCACTATGACTATTATCCCCATTGTACAGATGAATAAATTGAAGCATAAATAGTGAATTTATCTAGGATGACAGAGACAGGAGGGGCAGAAATGGGATATATATGGGCACAAGTGAGTCTAGTTCCAGAGTCTAGTCTCCTAAGCATCTTTTGCACAAATGCTTGGTAATGGCCCTCTGAAGGACATTTCTAAAAGGCTTGAGTGGATGCTAGCACATGGAACTAAGGAAAACACGATCACTAAGGAGACCCCTGGGTTTTTAATTGTATTGTCAAAAGACTGGACAAAAATGTTTTAAGACTTAAAACCATGTTGGGGTCCCCAAACTACATTGATAAAGAAAAGAATCAAGTCAGTCCCAGGTTATGATCCTTCTGCACACAATCAGCGAGGCCAATTTGGAAAATTCAAACAGGAGAATTTCCCGAAGGGCAGAGCAGAGGCCAGGAAGAACAATTTACAAGGGAAACACTTTCAGGGAGCAGAAAGGAAGCCTCATGAAGGAATGAAATATTAACAAGGTGACTGTATCAATTAATCAAATACGCCTCTGCGAATGCAAAAACTGTTTCATAGGAGAACATGGGAGAAATGATCTCAATATGGGAGAAAGTTGACAAAAATCAATGATAAAAATAATCAAAATAGAAATTTCTTAATACTTATAAAATTAATAATCAGATTAGTAGTCAAAGGAGAGAGAGACTTAAAGTCAGGATTGAGATTCATCACTATTTTGATTCTTTATTAAGCAGAAATGGTTAGCTTAGAAGAACAGAGTAAAACATACAAAGTTCACTCTCCACAGAAAAGGATCATGACTCAAAACCTGTCCACCAGCACCCAGACCTTGGTCTCCACTGAAAGAAACCAGGACTCCTTGGAGAAAGGACTAGTTCCATGATTCCAAGATATTAGGCCCACTTGGAAGAATTTAAGCCTGGAATATTTCAGAATATGCCAGAAATCAAAGAAGCATTCAAAATAGGTGACACAAGAACCAGTTTGGGGCACAAATAATCAGGAATAATAATGAATTATAAACCATTGGGAGAGAATGAAGGGATTCATGAGTTCACTTCCATAAGCAGTAGATAAGGAGCTAAATGTGGAGGAATAACGATAATTGAATGCTGAGTCTGACTAGGGAATGTGGAAGGTGTACTGAATGTGGAAAATAAGCATTTGGCAACCTTTCTAGTAAAGATCAGAACAGGGGAGAAGTATCCATAAAGGTTGACTCCATGGGACATTGTGATGACAAGCAGGATATTTACATGGTTTGTACTTATTAACAGTTGGAAAGCAGAAAAGAAAATGAAGAAATATATCAGCACCTCAAYGAGATCACCAAAATCAAATCACCAAATAAGGACAGACGGGCACCGTGGGACACCAAGACAACATGTCACTTATGCAATGTCATACCTAAGAGAGTACAAGTACATATAACCCCAAAGAACTCTCAGGCATACCCAAACACAGAAGCATCCTCCTAAAGATGTGTGTATGGAGTGGGGGAGTCCAATATGCAATATGGTACCCAAGATTGGATCTTGACACAGAAAAAAGACATCAGTGGAATAATGGTGAATCTGAATAAAACCTGTAGCCTAGATAAAAGTATAGAATGCATGTCAACTTCTTAGTGTTGACAAATGTACCACGGTCACATAAGACATTGACATTACAGAAAACTGGATAAAAAGATACATGAATTCTCTGCACTATCTTTGCATCTGCTCTGTAAATCCAAAATTTTTAAATAAAAGGTTTAAGAAAAAACTAAAGGAGAATAAGGTAGCAATAAAATAATGCCAATATTATTAAAGACAAAGACAGACTGTAAAAATGTTGATAAGAGTTGGCTAAGGAGACAGGATAGCTAAATTCAGTACCTGACCTTAGACTGGATCCTGAAAGAGTGAATACAATTCTATAAGGGACATTGAATCAACTCACATTAAAAGAGGAATAATATTGAAGAATCCCATTTATAATAGCAAAACACACAGTATTTGTGAAAAAGGTATAAAACTTGCTAATAAAATTTAAAGCTTTATAAAACATCAAAGACTAACCAAAGAGATTTATTATATGATCATAGTATTTTATTATTACAAAAAAAATAGTTTGCCTCCAAATTATTCTGACCAGGTTAATGTTGTACTTGTGACTTTTTTTTTTTTTTTTTTTGAGGAGTGGGAGGGACACAGAGAAGGTAAATCTTAAATTTACATGGAGCAAACAACCAGCTACCAAGACTTGATCTCAAGCCATAGTCAATAACACAATGTGCAATTTGGTGCAGGGTAGGCAGATTAAGTGTGGGTAATGATGGCATCAAGTACATACTTTGGGCTACAAATAATGGGAAAAGTGGGCTCAAAGGGATTAAAGAAGACTTCAACAGGAAGTCTTAAAACAGAGTTCTCTCCTGGTTTGGTAATGGTGTGACTTGACAGCCTCGTCAAGGGAACAGTTGTACCCATCCCTCTGTCCTGGGTTCTTAGGATTGCCCCTCAGGCTAGTCCCTTTATGGCATAATTGTGTGGAGCAGTTCTGTTCTATCCCASTAATGACAGAGCAGATGCCGACACCTATCGCTTCTTTCTGAGAAGCTGGGCAGTCGTTCTAAAAATCCCAAGATACGTTTCCACTTATGTCTTCATGGCCAGGCTTGGGTCACTCCCTCAATAACCAAGTAGGCTCRCTCCAAAAATCAGTGCTGGCAAAGGTAGGAAGGTCACCACAACTGCCCTCCATAAATCATCCTAGGCAGAAGCAGGGCTGGGGTGTCAGCCACTAAGACAACAATGTCAACTCTGCGGGGGAAATTTTTTTTTCCTCTAAATATATTCATTTTTTATTTATCAACTTAAAAAAAAAGTCTGAGGGAGGAAATTCTTCCAGAAGTTATACATATTTTTTCCTTCAATTTTTCATTTTATGGTTTTAACATCAATTGATGACTTTTCCTGAATCAATTGTTGTTTCTCTGATGACTGGAAAAAAAAAAAAGGTTATTACTAAGTTTATTTTCTTCATCTCAAGGTCGACGGAACTCTGATACCAGGCTGCTTCAATAGGGCTGTRCAGGGCCTTTGGTGCCTGTCTACCTCCTAAAGTTCTGATTTTATTTTTTCTTGTGTGGTGCTGGGGATCAAACACAGGGCCTTATGCATGAGACGGAAGCACTCTACCCACTGAGCTGTGACCCCAGCCCTTAGATTATCATCTTTTCTCATCTGCAGAAGGCTTGGCTTGAAGTCCCTGCAGCACCGGACTCTCCCTAGGAAGGCTGAAGTCGTGTCAAATCCTCTAGATTTGTCTATGCCCACCATGTTCTAGCTCAAGCTGCTGGCAAAGCTGGTGCMATGGGACTTCTGTTGAAAATGTTCCAGATCTGCCCCCACAGTCATTTCCAATGCATCTCCAGGCACCTAGCTGATGACTGGTCACCCTCTCAGTGAGCCACTGATGCTGGTGGCAGGACATCTGGGCCAAACTGAGTTCAGAGTTGACTTCTGCCTCTGGCCTGAATGAGACCATAAAGATTTCTCCCAGTGCAAGCTTCCTGCCTTCCTTGCTCACAGGGAGACATCTTGCTCCTGTCTTCTCTTAAACTCCTCAGAGATGGTTAACAGAAGTTGAGAGAGGGCAGAGGAGGCAGCATACTAGCAATGTGTCTGTTGTGTAGAGCCAGGAATGTGGAAGCACTCTTCAGTTTGTGAAGGAAGCTGGTTAMCATTCATGTTACCACTGTAGTTTGGATCCAGAAGGTTCCCCAAAGGCTGGGTTCCCAGTGCAGCAGTGGTCAGAGTTGGGGCTTCTGAGAAGTGACTGAAKGATGAGAGCTCAAGTTTGCCATTTTCTGAGCTTTCCATACCTTGAACTCTGTCCCCGATCTTGTCCCTGGCCTTGTTGGAAGGATTCATCGGGTTCTTTTTTGATCTTCACATGTAATCTAGATCTTCTGTTTTGAAACCAAGTTTGAACTCTSGACTCAGGAACTCCAATTTTCTTAGCAAGCTGTTCTCTGCAATGGATCCCAGGGTAGGGGTTTYTCTTGAAGGCCTTGAAGAGGGTGCACAGCTGAGAGGCGCTGTAGGTGGTTCGGGGCCGTCGGATCTGTTCACTGGGAGTCCCTTTTGGAAGGTGATCTTGCCCAGGGCCTTGGCTGGATTGCAGGGCCTCCTTAAGTTCTCGTCTCTCCTGGAAGAAGGATCTAGCTCTGCGATTCTGAAACCAAACCTGGATTCTTGACTCTTCAACGTTGATTTCCAAAGCAAGTCTTTGTCTGGTAGCATAATGTGGGTAAGGCATTTGGTTAAAGGTGTTGATGAGGATTGTCAGCTGCTCTTTGGTGAACTTAGTGCGATTGCGAATATGATTCCCTAGCATAGGCCCGTTTGAAGAGCTGTTTTGCTCCATGTTGGAAAAGAGTCCCRATGGTCCAGAATCCAAGAGATCCTAGGCAAAATAATGTTTTAAAATTATTTTTGATATTATTGACACATTTGGATATTTTCTCCAAATGGAGAAAAAAATTCACTGACAAATGAAACTTCAATGCCCTATGTGGAAATCATCATCTGCAATTCTCTGACTACCTATACAACCAACTGAAAATTGATATTGAGCACCTTCTAAATGCCAGGTGCCAAGTTCAGTATACCCTCAGATTAATCCGTACAATGCAGCTTCAAGTAGAAGCCAAGTCCAGAGGAGTAATGAGATTTGTGTGAATCACCAGCTGAATAAGTGGTAGAGCCGGGGCCTTATGCTCATTTTCAGACAAGTGCCCTATTCTTCAATCCAGACTTGTGTCTCTAGCCTTCATTGTGCCAGGAAAAAAAAATAAATGATATAGATTCATAAACCAGGAGGAGCTGCAAAAACTCCCCGAGATGTTTTCATCTCTGTAGGCTCTATAGGAAGGGATGATAAATTTCAAAATTCTTCGGATCTACTCTCAACCATCAATGTGTTGGAGTGGGGAGGTTGATTGCTTCTTTGGAAAGAATCTGTCAAACTAAAAAGAACTTCCCAGGAAACTCAGTGGGTCTGGCATTCCCACTGTGCCACCCACTCATGCAAATCGACTTTCATAAATACAAAGTACCTGGGCTCCATTAGGGATGTCAACAACCCAGGGTGACTTAAGGTTAGAGGATAGAGGGGGTGCTTCCCTGGGGCAGAAGAAAAACTACAAAAAAAAAGATGAATTCAGCCGGTGGGACAGAAACTAACCCACCCAGTGAAACAGAGCACTGCACACTTCTCGGTACAGTTGTGATGGATGGGCCCCTCTGAGGCCACCTGTGATGGAAGCCAGATTGTCAAAAACAGACAGTAAACCAGGAGCCAGAGATGAGAAGTGAGAGCATGCTGTCAGCTTGCCAGGGGATATGCCGCTAAGAATATGGGACCTGCATGAAGAGTGAAGAGAGGAGAAAAAATAATAATTATATATATATATGATGGGGGAGGGAGGTGAACRAGTTCTGTAAGCAGCCTCCTAGGACACCTGGGAGAAAATCTGGGGCATCTAACATCACAACGATGAGTTTTGCAAACAGGTAATCTCATCACCTTCCAGAGCACGAGGTTCTCAACTGGTGCCAGGGCTGTGAGTCTGGGGAGCCAGCTGTTTGTCTCCCACCTTCTAACAAAATTCGAGACTCACAGGGACACTCCAGAAGTCAAGATGCTCCTGAAACTCTCTTCAGAGAAGCCGGACAGTAGCAGAGGGGCCAGGATCATGCATCTGGGTATCCCACTCCACCCAGAGATGRAAGGGAGGGAGGGAGGGAGGTGGGAGGTACGCTGGGCTTTGAGGAAAGTATGGCTCCTGAGCACTGAGCAGCAGCTGCTTTGTTAACTTCATCTTGCAATTCGTTGTGGAAAGACAAGCCTGCAAGTCTGCAGTAGAGCAAGGAATCTGAAAAACCCCAGGGAAAACTAGCAGGTCTAGCGTTTCCACATCATGCTCTACACAGTCCTGGGGATACTGTGGAAATGTTTCAGGGACACAATTCATTTGGGTTTGCAGGGAGAAGATGGGGRAGACAAAGAAACAGCAGGCAGGGTTCCAAACAGAGCAGTTATACTTTCAGGGGTTTCAAGTTGTATTAATATTTATTAAGGATTTTCAATATGCCAGACCAATGCCAAGCGTTTTACATCTGTTTTCTCCCTTCGTTCCCTTAGTTCTCTTAAAACCATTGAGTGAAGTGATGCTATTAATATTCTTAGGATACAGGCAAGGAAACTGAAGTGCAGAGAGGTTAAGTAACTGGCCCCAGGTCGCACAGCAGGTAATTGGTAGTGAGATTTAAAAGTCAGCTCTTTTACCAMGGTATTATAGAGAAGTCCTCTGTAAGATTTTCTGATGAAAAGGTTTTCTCCCAGCACACAGCATAGGGTTTATCTCAGGTGGGCCCAGTCACAGAGGGCAACCTTAAGACTGACAGCCTAGGGCTTATCAAAATCTCTGACAGTAGCGCATGAGTCATGAGAGTCACAGCTGCTCTGCAGTTTATTCTGCCATCTGTTAAAATGAGGAGAATATTAAATATTGACCTCTTGTGGCTCAGGCAGGCTTTGAGAGTTTTAAGGATTTAATGTCTGAAAATCACCTCCTACAGTGACACTGGGAACCTGGCAGCAGCTCTCCTGCGGATTCGGCACACCCAGGGCTAATGAAGAGCAAGGCCCACCTGAGAGCTTTGCCCAGACACACACCACGAGGCTCAGCATCCAAGGGGGTGGGGGGGGGAGGAGAGTAGCCAATGGGGTGACGGAGGGCCTCTAGGGAGAGGGTGGGCAGATGCCAAGGAAACCTGAGGCCCAGATGAATGGTACCTTTTATATGAAAGGAGGAAACAGTTCRTCCCCTAAAGAATTATAAGTTGTTTTTAGGGGACAGTGAAAGACAGGTGAGTTTTTTCCACCTCACCTGTAAGAAAACTCTGTTTTTCCTTTGGATTTTAGTCTATCTCCTTARCTTTGGTTTCTGGTAACGACCTTCTCCCTTAAAATAAAATTGAAATCTATCCAAAATGAGCTGCCYGGGCCCTGTTTTGATTGGCCTCCTATTCTTTTGGGGAAGTGGACAGAGCATAACTAATTGACGTTAAGATTGGAGGAGAATATTCACCTCCTGGAGGGCGGGTACTAAAAGTGACGTGGTCCTTTCTCAACCTGAAATGTTTCATTGATAAGTGTTTAAAGTTTTTAAGTGAACTTAAAATGTTCGATAATATAGAAAGAATCTGYAGCAAACACGGAACTACCGTCTGGGTGGTGGGCACACAGCTGTCCCTTTCTGTACACTTGAAACACATCACAGCTTTGAAAGCAAACCTGAATTGCTCAGAGGATTTGACCAGCTGGCATGAGAATTAGGAGCCCCCCAGGGCCTGAGTGGCCCCTGATTTCCATCATGTAAACAGCCCATGTTTTGAATCTGAARTTAAGCAAGACTAAGGAATAAAACTCTTAATTTCAAGTCTTCATTTTGTTCATTCAGACATTTAGAGCACCACTGTATACCTGGTATTTTCGCAGGCCTTCAGGACAGAAGGGCGAGTCAGGCAACATGATCCCTGCCTTCCTTGAGTTTTTGGTCTAATGAAAAGACAAAAAAATCTAAATAAACAAAKGAGTGAATAGTTACACATTGTGGTAAATGCTCTGGAGAGGGGGAAAAATGGTACAGATAGAAAACAGTAACAAGGGGCATGGTCCAGTTTAGACAGGGGATTGTAGATAGGAAGGTCTGGTTGTCTAGGATAAAGAAAGGAAGGATGAACACTCCAGGCTGAGGCGACAGGAGGTATCCTCACACAGGACAGAGCTGTCTAGGTCCTGAGGGCAGAAGACAGCCAGAGTGGCTGACGCCCATCATCGAGGAGAGCCAGGAATTCTGAMTGAGAGCCAAGAGGCAGACAGGGGCCAGATCAGGAAGGGCTTTGCACACACAATGTGTTGGTGTTCTATCCAAAAATCAATATGGCATCTAGTAGACACTCTAGTACAAGGGGCAACATGTTCTGAACAAATCTGGAAGATCACCCTGGCTCCTCCATATAGAATTGGCTTGGAAATTGGTCAGAGAAGAAGCAAGAAAATGAGGGAGAACAGGCCCAGCCTGTGAGCAGAGCCTRGAGCCCTGCCTATTGTGAAGTTTTATTGCAACAGGACACATCTTCCGTTTCCATGCTGTGGCTACCCTCACACTCCAGCAGCAGAGCTCAATACAGAAGGTCCCCAACTTACACCCATCGACTCATGGTGTTTCAACTCCACAGTGGTGGGAAAGCAATGCACATTCAGTGGGAACCAAACCTCAAGTTTTTTTTATCTTTCCCCCCAGGCTAGTGATAGGTAGTCTGATACCCACCTCTCATGACACTGAGCAGTGACAACTCCCAAGCAGCCACATGATCAGAAGGGTAGACAACCAACATTGCAGTACACTGGCTTACTAAGCCGCAATGTTCAGTAGGGTAGGTGTTTTAATATCATAAATCCAAGAYGTATTTTTCAACTCATGATGGGTCTGTCAGTATGTAACCCCATAGTAAATTAAGAATATTTCCAGTTGCATCAGGGACTGTCTAGTTTGAAAAAAATCCAAAAATATTTACTACCTGGCCCTTTTCAAATCGCTGTGTCAACTCCCTACCTAGCAGTGGCCGAGGTACCAGACAATGGAGGCCAATCAGCATCTATCCCCCAAGAGCTATTGAGCCCGTACTGTTCTTAGGRGAAAGCCAGGTCCCTATAACTGTAAATTCCATATAAGACTAGACTCTATCCTCCACGACTCTAAATCCAGAAAGATCCATTCCTTCTCATGTACTTACAAAATCCTGTTTCCCGATGCCTCAATAATTCCCTCCTAAAACTTCAAGCTTGGTTTGAGCCTTACCCCCTTTGCAAAGTCTTTCCCCGACTTCTAACTTGCTTCAATATCCAGATGTATTTCCTATGACTCATACTATGCCCTCTATCATACCGTGCATATTGCTGGTTTTGGATGAACAAAACCTTTTCCTCCATATTATGRAGATGGGCTTTCCCCAACCTCTGAGATACCACTCATGCCTTCCCAGTGAAAGAACTCTGTAAGGAAGAGTATTCAGAAATGGGACAGGTCCTTAGGAGAATATTTCCAGAGGGAAAGAGGAGAGGGGCTCTTCTGGAACCACTCAGAAAGACTCTTTGTCTCACTGGGACAGTGCAAGAGGCCAGCCATCTAGATGGTCAAACCTCTACCTGATGCTCTTCCGCAGGATCACATGCCACTAGCTTCAGTAAGGAATCTCAAGGGCGTCCCCTGAGCCCTGCAGGCCACAGTATCTCTCAGCCTTACTGTTTCTGGTAATTGAGTTTCTGCCATTTACAATAAAAAAGAGCCCTAACTA